AGTTGCAGAAAAACACTCTTTTTAGTATGGGTATGCAATTTTCGAGCAGAGGCCTAAAAATAGGGCTAAGAAGTTTATTAATATGAATACATGAAAGATAATTGATGTACTTCATCAACGTGGAGCCAGTTTTTAATACTCTGTGTACTACTGCAAAAATACTATTATAGTACTGCATAGTATTTATGTTTTTATTTATGTATAAAGTAACTTTAGGAGGCAAGATAAAAAATGTAGAGCAGTAAAAAGTATAATATTAATACATGAGATGTAGTGGAGAAGTCGAAAGTAGCAGAAAATACTCAAGTAAAGTACAAGTATAACTACATTGTAGTTATACTTGTACTAGTTATCTAGTTATTTAGTTGTTGAGGTACAATTATTTGTAGCAGGTTTTATTTCTCAGAATGCTGCATTACAAAATGAATTATATCAGAATATATGTATAGATGTTTATTTCTAAATCTTGAGTCGACCTGTTATACTAGAACCCACCACTAGGGGGAGTTAAAATCATCTGCATTCATTATAATAATCCAAAAACATCGTATCACTCTGTTTAACGAGTACTTTAACGTTTCATCTTAATCCGATTAATAGCTTCACTGTGGAGCTTTTATTTCACATTTTTTAGCATAATATTTAGGATTATTGTACAAAAACACAAAATATCCATGAAATCCTAAAGTTTATCTGAAGAAAATATAAAAACACCAAATAGGAGAAACGCGGTTTTCATTGACAGTGATGTTTTGATTGAGATTTTACTGAATAACATTTTGAATTGTTTATCAACACTGTCCAGGTGTCTTTAGTGTCATTTCAGTTTCAGATGAATTGATCCGATATAACAACAGGTTGAAGAAATATCACAGGTCCTTTATTTACGTTTCTTTACCGTTTTTTATCAATAGAAACTCCCGTTAGCAGTAGTTCCCCACAGTGAGCTAATCAATAAGGTTTGGGTAATATGAACGCTAGCTGCATTAGCGTTAGCTGGAAATAACTGTTAAAGTGAGGTTTGTACGCTAATTTAGATGATTTTCACTGCTTTACCGTTTATCAGTAAAACTTCAATATGTAAAGTAACCGGTAGTTAACAGTGAAATTCAACATAAAAATACATTTAATGTGTTAATTTGTTTGACATTTTCATATTTCATGTAAATTTTATGCCTTGAATAAATTTCTGGTGAATTCTTATTTTAAGATAACTGTAGAACATGAACTCGTCTTCATGTTTATATTAAGATAATACATTTTATTTAATGAGTGCTTTTTAAAAAACTCAAAGACACTTTACAAAGGAGATAAAATAAATGAGTAAACAATACAACAGGTAAATGGTATCTACGGTAAATAACTGTTAAACAAATATTGCAGTATATTTACAGCATTTGCCTCACATAAAGTACAAGTACCTCAACATTAAAAGTAGCCAGCGGTACTTGTGTGAATATATTTAGCGACATTCCAGCTCTAGATGTTAACTTATTTAGTTCTATTCAAGCAGTCACAGTTTGTTGTTCATTGATTGGTGAACATCATCACTCTCTTCCTCAAGCAGCCTCAGTGTTGATCCTCAGCTGTTTGAGGGTTTAAATTATAACGAGGAGGGTTTTTCTTAAATCCCACAGAAACAGAAGTGAATTAACTTGTTTGTCTGAGAGGTAGATTATCGGATTATCAGCCGAAGAGTCGACTGTCACTGTGGATAAATAAACAAGTCAGTCTACCACTGAGGTGCTCCCAGTGCATGCTGGGAGAAGCCATAATTCTCTTTATTCATGAAGTTCTTTATCTAATAAACTAAAAGGAAAAAAACCCTCAAAGGGACTCAGATTCCTGGAGAAAAACCCTCGGTTCCTGTTTAATAAGATGATTGAAGATGAATTGTACAAGTGAGACTCATGAGCTCATTACATTTAGCAGGATTTAATTCATCACAGATGCAATATCAAATATAATATCATTTACAAAATCAGTAGGCACAAATGGGCGTGGCCTTTATGAATGAACGAACGTAAAAAAAATGTATTTACTCTAATATTTATTTATTTACCAAATAAATAACCTGATTTGGTTGTCCCATGGTCGATTGTTGTGTGCACTCATGCTGATTTGAACCCTCCAGTTCGGCCTTTTGGCCATCGCCATCTTGTTTTTTGCAACGAGTGAACAGGAAGTGACCATATTTGGACAGAGGAGGAGCGACGTAGAGACTACGTTTGGTAGAAAAACTGTTTTCCGCGAGGAGAAAATCATAGAGTGTCTATCAGAAGTGGACGAAGTCGTCGTCACGTCACTGATCGGTTTGTGGATGATTTGAAGCCTTGATTTCTCCGCCATCTTGGGGATTTTTGCAACCAGGGAACAGGAAGTAACCATATTTGGACTGAGAAGGAGTGATGTAGTTACATAAGTTACGTGAGGAATAAATCAACATTGACTTCTTGTTTCAGAGAGACAACAGACTGCTCTTTTAAAGATCTTTATACTTTGTGGTTCATGATTACGTGGAAATGTCGACGAATTACAGCGCATTCATTTTTCGTTGTTTATAACTACAACTATTATAGAACAGTCTGCACACACACACACACACACACATTTTCTTTCACATATTTTACAGACAAAAATGTTGATTCAATAACTGATGGATAAAATAGATTTTTTTAAATACTAATTAGCTGCAACATGATTGTGAAAAAGCAGACAAATGCCACAGCAGCACGAGTGCTTTGTGGGATCAGTTATAGGTCATAATCAATAAGCGCTCACATGACAAACCACCTCTCCTCACCCGTTCCTCACCCGTTCCTCACCCGTTCCTCACCCGTCACTCTCACACCTGTCAGTCAGGTGTTTCACAGAGAGAGAAACATGAAGACGGAGACAGAGGAGACATAAAAAAGAAACCAACAAGCAGCACAGAGAGGATGAAAGATGAGAGTAAAGAGAGACTGGCAGGTGAGATAGGACAGTAAAGGGGGAGAGAGGGGGAGGAAGCCGAGAGAGAAGCATCCCATTAGCATACTCTCCCCTCAGTTTACCGGAGTCTCACCAGTAATCCCACTGTGACTGAATATCAGTCGCTGGACGAAACGCCAGAGTTCACTTCTTTAAGACGGAGAATGTTTCCGCCGATAAACGCCGACTTCCCCCTGAATTAAACATGAATACAGCTGGAGACTCTCCATGAATTCATTAATAATGTAAAAGAACTGTCAAAATAAAGTCAAACGTATAGGACAGAATATCTTAATTATAGAGAGATAGAATATTTTATTAATCCCAGCAGGAAAATGTAACGTTACAGCATTTTAGCAAAAACATATGAATGAATTAATTAATGCTAATTATGACAAAAGAATAATGAATATATGAAGTATATAATAATTATACTTGATGATTCAGGATGATGACTTAGTATTTCCTAACTATGACAAAGTAATGTAAAATGATTATTTTAATACGTCACATAAACTTGATCTATAATCATTTTACTAGAATCTTTATATCTTGTGATTTGTTTCTCGCTGGAGACAAATCACGGCGATGTCATCAAATAGTGTAGAAATGAAATCGATTGGTTTCATGTTGAGCAACTTGAAATGTCGCTTTGAAGGACTTCTTTTTCGGGACGACATTAAATTATGAAACAAAAGTTGAGAAAAATATCATGGATGGGCTTAAAATAGGTACGTACAGTTTTGCTTAGTTAAGTTTAGGAAAAGATCGTAAAATACTTGGTTAGGTTCAAGAAAAGATCATAAAATACTTAGTTAGGTTCAAGAAAAGATCTTAAAATACTTAGTTAGGATCAAGAAAAGATCTTAAAATACTTAGTTAGGTTCAAGAAAAGATCGTAAAATACTTAGTTAGGTTCAAGAAAAGATCATAAAATACTTAGTTAGGTTCAAGAAAAGATCTTAAAATACTTAGTTAGGTTCAACAAAACATCTTAAAATACTTAGTTAGGTTCAAGAAAAGCTCGTAAAATACTTAGTTAGGTTCAAGAAAAGATCGTAAAATACTTAGTTAGGTTCAAGAAAAGATCTTAAAATACTTAGTTAGGTTCAACAAAAGATCTTAAAATACTTAGTTAGGTTGAAGAAAAGATCGTAAAATACTTAGTTAGGTTCAAGAAAAGATCTTAAAATACTTAGTTAGGTTCAAGAAAAGATCGTAAAATACTTAGTTAGGTTCAACACAAGATCGTAAAATACTTAGTTAGGTTTAAGAAAAGATTGTAAAATAGTTAGTTAGGTTTAAGAAAAGATCTTAAAATACTTAGTTAGGTTCAAGAAAAGATCGTAAAATACTTAGTTAGGTTTAAGAAAAGATCTTAAAATACTTAGTTAGGTTCAAGAAAAGATCGTAAAATAGGTTTAAGAAAAGATGGTGAAATACTTCCTTTCAGAAAACACTTTGACATCTAAATGACGGAACAGTAAGTGAAAAAATGCTGACTCATGCCTGGTTTTAGGACTCATCCTGCAGCTCTTTATAAAGACTCAGATTTGTTTACATTGGAGTTTGAAGGCCGCCTTAATAAATGTGAAATAATGTGAAGTTCATGTGAACTTGTTCAAACGTGAAATGAGCTTTAATGTGTGAGAACAGAGCAGAATTATGACTCCTGTTAAGACGACTAACAATGAAACGTTTGTCTCAGAATCATGAATTTGTTTTGGTCCATTGCTCAAACCGGATTTGTTCTATTTTGTTTCTCATTAGCGACTGTCGACAAAACGCCTGCGACGCTGTTTCATGACAAACACCAGCGTGGGTCGATTAAAGCGCCTCATAGCTGCAGAGAGAAGTCATTCAGTTAATTGTTTAAACCACAGGACTGCATGAATCAGCTCTTCATCTTCTTCTGCTCACTGCAGCACATCAGATGCCTCGGAGGGCAAGAATCCAGCAGGACGCAGCACATTTCCTCCTTAATAAGGTGGAATACTGGAACATAAACACAAAGCTTTTCTGGAGAGTATATGAAACCAACAAGTCCTCCAAACTGCAGAATAATGAAATCATGCATCTCCGGATTCAATAAAGACAGAAAGAAACCACCTCATCTGTAGCTTTGGACATCCAACACTCAGAATAGAGTTTACAGTTCGGTCAACCCACTCGCTGGGCTCACTTGTTTTATTCCAGAGATGAGAGACTCAGCCTCCCTGCAGAGCTTTCTAACAAGTCAGCATCTCAACTCACAATGTTTGATGTGTTCAACACGATGGAGGCTGCAGGAGTTCAGGAGAGAAACCAGGCGACAAGTCTGAACTGACGAGGACTCACTCACTTTTTCAAGTACTGATACCACAGTGTAGAAATACCCTGGTCGAGTAAAAGTCCTGCTTCAAAATGTAGTAAAAGTACAAAAGTATCAGCATCAAAATATGCTTAAAGCTACTACGAGGAATTTTCATTATGTGTTGATTCTGGTGCCCCCTGTGGACTAAAGTGGTAATGTTTCAGAGCAGCAGACTCCCTTTAGAAAACCTCTCATTTTACTGAAAAATTTACTGCTAATACTTTCAGTACATTTTGTTGGTAATATTTATTTTCACTTCAGTGTGACTTTAGATGCAGAATGTTAGATGTTCTCTAGTAAAGGATTCATTCAGTGGAGATGTGACTGAATAAAAGATCGTGAAATACTTCGTTAGGTTTAAGAAAGGATTGTGAAATATCATTGTTTGGGTTAAAATAACTACAGAAGTGTCGTGACTGAAGAACGCAAATTACGAGATGAATAAATGAACGCTGACTTCTTGTTTCACACGGGGAACGAACATCGGTCTCCTGGAGGAAACGTCTGGGTTCTTGTGGCCTGTTGATTATTACATGGATCACACACATCATCACACATTATCTACAAATTAAAGCACCAATATTTAATATTTGAATGAAATTTAACGCATCACTGACCTTCAAATGAATGAGACAAACTACAGCAAAATAAAGTTGGACACACAATGTCTTCCAGAGACCTGGTGGCTGAGATATGGACACCTTGTTGGGTGATTCTGGTCCTGTTTATGACTCCTGTATCTTTTCTGTTCTATCCACATTCTGGATCTTTTTACAGCTGCGGTCATGAAACTGCCTGGTGGGTTTATTTTACTTCCCTCAGTATTTTCTCTCTGCTTTTTCAAAGTCATCCCTAACATGTTCAGCCTTTATTTCCTCCTCTCATGCTCCTCGTTAAACACCTGCTGTCTGTTACCTGCAGCTAGAGGATGAATCGTGTCAGTGAGGAAGACATGAAAATAACCGTCGGTGTGTTTCCTTTAACCTCGGGCATCGAGCGGCCGAGTCGGTCCATACTAATGACTCCCAGCTGAGACAGAGAGGAGATGTTAAAGTGTCGTAGTGATGGTTTATCTTTCTCTTCTTCTTGTCAACACTTTCAGACTCTATGACGGTGCGGAGAGGAAAGAAGCTCAGCATCTCCATCCAGGAACACATGGCCATTGACGTTTGCCCCGGCCCCATCAGACCCATCCGACAGATCTCCGCCTACTTCCCCCGCCGGTCCCCCACCTCCCCCGGCCCCGTGTCCCCGAACCCGGCCTCCTCCCCACTGGCCCTCAGCCCCGGCTTCGTGGCTCCCGGGATGGGCGGGGCTCACCTCTTGTCTCCTCTGCTGGCTCACGGCCGGCACGGCGGTGGCGGCGGGTCTTTGTCTCTGACCAGCAGCGTGGAGACGTCGGTGGAGATCAACAGCTCCGACAGCGACGACTGCAGTGAGCCTCGCTGTTGGCATGTGTGTGTGTGTGTGTGTGTGTTACTGTGCACCTCTACACACCTGTAGACGCTTTTTGCATGACTCAGCATGTTGCATCTAGACTTCAGGTAAAGTGGTTAGTGTTTCCATCTAAATGTAGCACAAATTTTAATCAAATTTCCTCAAAATCTGCAAATGAATATGCTAATTTATGCACGTTTCCACCAGGCGGCAAGTGAAGCCAATGCTAAAGTGCCTTAAAGCTGCATTCTCTCTAATGTCCATCAGTGGATGCAAAAAGAACAATGTTTGTATATAAATCCTAAGTAAAAAGCCAAAAGCTAGGATGGCAACGGCCAAAAAATCCCAATCACAACAGCAAAAATCAAAGATGGTGACATCCAAAAACCAAAATGGCGACAGCCAGAAAACAAGATGGCGACAGCCAAAATTCCAAAGTTGAGGCTCCAAAACAGCAGTCTTACAAACCAATGGGGGACATCATGTTGATAATGTCTAGTTCTTATATACAGTCCATGGTTACCACCCATAATGCAGTATGTAGCATCATCTTGATTTTTGGCGGTTGCCATCTTTTGTTTCGCCGTCACCATCTTGGTTTTTGGCCATCGCCATCTTCTTTTTGGCCCGTCATCTCGATTTTTGGCAGTCACCATCTTTTTTTTCCGTCTCTTGCTATCTTTTTTTTTTGGCCTATCCTCTCAATTTTCAGCCATCGCCATCTCTATTGTTTGGCTGTCGACATCTTAGCTTCTGGCCGTTGACTGGGGTAATAAATGAAGTGGGAAGTAAGGTCATTTTCTCATGAGCGGAGTTCATTACGTCTCGGTCGTCTGAAGATCCGATCAGCACTTAATAAGCCTGTTGGACTAAAGCTGGCTCTGCTGCTGTGCTGTAGGCACATTGGATGTGAAGACTCATGGTCATGCATTTTGATTCTCTTTAGAATCTTATCAAATAAAAACGACACTGACAGTGTGGTCGGCCTATTGGTCTGATCAGAACCTGCTGCAGGACTGAGCGGATGTAAAGATGCTGCAGTGCGATCAATAAACAAAAACACCAGAGTCCAATTTATCTGAGCACGTTTACCCCCGAGTTCAGTTCAGAGATACAACTTATGAATAATTCATGTATTTAAGTCAAAATAACATTAACAAAGCAACACGTTATGCTCCCACATCTGGACTGATCACAGACATTTACAGAGTTTATGGAGCAGCAGACTGCACATAAAACAGGATTGTGTTGGAATTGGCTTTCAGGTTTTCCAGCATCGTCTCGCTGAATGAATGAAATATGAGCTTTGTGAGAGGAGATCAGCCTCAGAGGTAAAATAAGAACACATTGTGATGAACGACTGGTCTCAGAGCTGCTGTCTTCAAGCTGCCTTTCAGATCCACTCACAGAATAATTGTGGGTTTCTATTTCAACATGAATTCATCATCAGATGTGTTATGCAGTCACTGGCTGATGATTTTATTTGTTTTCTAATAAAATGAGATTCATCACAGTGTGACAGCCTGTCTCATGCAACTAAAGCTCACCCACCCCCCCCCACACCCACACCCACAACACAAAGCCGCCAAGAGAGC